TGACTTCAATAATAGCAGGATTGGGCCCAGGGTCGTGACTCCTCCATCATAAAAAGTAGACAGAAAATTCATCAAATGAGCTACAAAAAACTTGGGATGATAATGAGATTAAAAACCCAGAAGTAGCAATGACCCAAATTTTTAAAAGTTTGTATGCCCAAGAGGAATGTGCAAAACACCCCTTTAAAATTTGGGGTAAAAAACTTCACATAATAAAAATAAAGAAAAATTAACATTTTATGCACAGACAATGCTTTCTGCTCTCTCTTTTCTTTCTCCCTAAATATTATGCATGGTTTTCTTCCTTGCTTTTCCCAAACAATCTGTTTTCTAATTCTGATAGTGTGTAAACGCCCTCCAGCATTGCCCCCTGCACTGAAAACCCATCAAAATCTTTAACACCTTCAATGTGTAATTAGAAAATACAAAACTCTTTGTGAGGTCTAAAATGTTTGTAGAGCTGCAGAGGTGTTTTCTCCTTAATTTGCTTTTTACAACTAATCATTCCATGGATGCTGTTGTGAGATAGTGGATAACTCTTCCAGGCAGCCATGCAGAGCTTTCCTGAGAGGAGGAGTGACTTTTTAGCCAAGCTTGTACAAAGTCTTTTCCACCCATGCATCCTTTTGCCTATGGTCATTTCAAAGAGGTTTATGACTCAGGTCTGGAGACTGTAGGGTGTGTTCAGGTTTAAAAAAAAACAACACATCAAATCTGGGGCCCTATTCTCCTACTAGGGGATACGCAGTGTTGTCAACCCCAAGGCTTCAAAAACATGAGACAAACCCAAATAAATTATGTGATTGGCTTAAAGATCACAAGCTTTTTTAAAATTGCTGTTTTGGAGAGACCTGACTTCTAATTTTCACACTTTTTATGGAAACCTTCATCTTTTTAATTATTTTTTTATATCATGGTAGCACTAAGATCAGGATTGGGCCCTGTTGTGGTAGGTGCTCTACAAGTAGAGTGGTGGATCCCTGCCCTGAAGAGCTTATAGTCTAGGTGGAAGATGGACACAGTGTGAAGGTTTGGGGATGGGAAAACAATTAAATATATATAAAAAATGTATAAATAAATTTCATTTCTTTTTTCAATTTTGTAATTACATAAGTAAAAGACATCAACTGTCCCTCAGCCAGCCAGGGCCGGCTCCAGGGTTTTGGCCGCTCCAAGCAGCCAAAACCAAAACCAAAAAAAAAAAAAAAGCCGCGATCGCGATCTAAAAAAAGACGCGATCGCTATCTGCGGCTGCAATTCAGCGGGAGGTCCTTCACTCCCAGGCGGAGTGAGGGACCGTCCGCCGAATTGCCGCCGAATACCTGGAACTGCCGCCCCTGTCCGGAACGGCCGCCCTAAGCACCTGCTTGAGAAGCTGGTGCCTGGAGCCGGCCCTGCAGCCAGCTCCCCTAGCAGCCCCTCAGTCTAGCTATGAAATGGTGACTGATTTCTTGTAGGAGCTGTGACAGAAGTGTGTCTCTAGAAGAGATTTGAAGGAGAAGGGGGAGCAGCCTTACAGATCAGTTCAGAGAGTGTTTCAGGATAAGAGGCAGCATGCAAGAAAGGGGCTGAAAGGATGAAGGTGTTTGCAGGAGGAGCATAGAAGAAGGTAGCTGAGGCAGGCAGCACTGGAAGAGTGGAGGCGGGAGGGTGATAACTAGGTGACAAGAGCAAGTTTATAGGAAGGGGGCAGAGCTGTGGCAGGCTTTGAAAGTAAAGACAGGAAGCTTGTACTTGATATGATAGGAAACTGGAAGCCAGTGGAAGGACTGGGGGGGCTGCAGAGCAATAGTCTAAGGAGATTATTTTAGCAGCAGCATTTTGTCTGAATCAGAGAAGGGAATTTATACTCATTTGTGCATGTGGAGGAAAATTCAACCTGGAACAAACACAAAATGCAAGCACAGCAAACGGGGAGAAGGGGACTCCCACTCTTCCTTCTGGCAGACTGAACCTTTCCCTCTCAGCCCCTTTCCTTCCCTAGACATGAGCATTCAGCAGCTCCTTTTATTATTGTTTATATTAATCATGTTTATTACAGTAGTGCCAAAGGGCCAACCAAGAGTGGTGCCCCATTGTGCTAGGTTCTGTACAGAGAGTCATAGATGCTCCCTGCCCCGAAGAGTTTACAATCTAAAAAGACCAGACAGACACACGGTAGGGGAAGAGGTGGAACACAGAAGCAGAGTGAACTTTGTGATGGCAGTTACATGTTTGGGGGGGGGGTGACTGAGATGTGTTTACTTAGGAGGGAAGGAAGTGAGCAGGAGAGGAGGATAAGGGAGTCAGGTGAGGAGTGAAGCTGACTGAAGAGACTGAGGGTGCGAGGAGTGGAGCAAACAGCCAGTCAGCTCAGGGCAGAGAAAGTCCAGCTAAAACTGTAGAAAGTTCTGTGAATGTGCCGAGGTCCCTGCTTTCCCTGCACCTGCTCCTACCAGCTGGAGTCTCTGGCTGGCTGCTATCTGCAGTTTTCTCTTAAGGCCACATGGTGGCGGGGAGAGGAGGCACCCACCGTCCTGGGGATGAGATGAGCAGAGACCTCATCCAAAGGGGCAGGAACTCAATGCAGCTGCAGAGCATACTGCAGGCTCCTCACCTGCAAAGGGGACTGCTCTGCTGCACACTGGGGAGGATGCTGCACTGCTAAGATTACTCCTTCCACTGCTGTTCCCCTTTCTTAGCACCTGCCTAGATTATGACTCCTTACTGTACCCCAATGGGGAAAGGAGGAGGAGGTGGGAGAGATGGAGAGACTGCTAGTGCCACATGGCCAATTCGATGGCCTTGCCTGCCTTAGAACTTTGCCCCACTCAGGAGTGCACTGTGCAGAAGAGGTGCACAGAAAATACAGGCTGCAGTGTTAGAGAGGTAGGGTGGTCCAGTGGTTAGGGCACTATCCTAGGACTTGAGACACTTGGGTTATGTTCCCTGCTTTGCCACAGATGTCCTGTGTGACCATAGGTAAGCCACTTAGTCTCTCTGTGCCTCAGTGCCCCTCTGCAAAATGGGGATAACAGCACTGCCCTGCCTCAGGGGTGTGATGAGGATAGGTACATTAAAGATTGTATGGAGCTCAGTTACTATGGTGTTGGGGACCATATAAATATCTTAGTGAGGAAGCTGGAGGCAGGTCAGTCAAAATTCTTGGGTTTGCCTGCTGCTCGCTCATACTAATGCTGATTGCCAATAGAGTGAATGCTGGCTACATGGTGCCAGATTTTCAAATGCTGAGCAACCACAATTGAGGCCAAATTTTCAAAAGAGCTACAATCCCCTGGAGGCACCAAAATAATTGGTCAGATTTTATCATTACTACAGTGCCTAGTAGTCCTAGTCATGGACCGGGACCACATCAGAAGTGTTTAGCATCCAGCCCCCATTTTCATCTTGGGGGGTACTTTGGAAAATCTGGCTGCTTATTTGATGCCTAAATGGATGCTGACCTCTTTTGAAAATGTGATCCTAATAGTGGTGCTGAGCTCTTTTGGAAATCGGATCTTTAGTGTCGTAAGTAACAAACCCCATTGTGAAGGGAATATTCATGACAGATCTATAAACCCCTTTATTTGACAGGTTGAGCCTTAACCAAGTCTGTACTAACAGGCCCTGCTATGATGGGATGGATTTTGCAAGGCCCATTTCTAATTAACAAAAGGTTGGAATTCTTCACAAATGAATTTAGTAAAATGGTTTGAATAAATAAAGCTTTGTTTTGAGATATATCCACCAGCATTTTAAGAGTTACATTTTATCGGTACAGCTGTACCGATGCAGCTCGCTGCTGTAAGATCATTCATGTAGCAGCTCTATGCTCTCTTGTCAACATAATAAAACCACCTCAACCAGCAGCGGTAGCTATGGCAACAAGAGAAGCTCTCCCGCGGACAGCTATGCACACTACCACTTATGCGAATGAAACTTATGTTGCTCAGGGGAGTGTTTTTTCCGCACCCCAGAGCAACATAAGTTTTGCCGACATAAATGGTAGTGTAGACATCGCCTCTGATCCCTGAAAATAATAGTTCCAACTGTTTACATTGTCTTCTCTTGTAGCAATGGAACAGAAGACTTAACTCGTGGTCCAAATACTCACAAGCACTGAAGGGCTGATTTTTTTCTCAGCTACACTGTTTCTGTTTTTCACTTAGCTTGTCTTTGTTTAAAATTTGATTAGAGTGCATTTTCATTTTAATTGACTCATAAATATTAATGGACTGATTAAGCAAAATTGGCTGCTGGAGCTAAGAAGTTCTGAGAAATTTCTGGGGCCTGTTATAAGAGAGGTTACTGTCTGTTCTGAGGGCTATCACTGCTAGCATTCTGTAGTAAATTCCCCTTGAAGAGTCTCTTGATGGGCTTGCTCCTGCTGCTCTTGAAAACCCACACTGCCTTCAACTGGAGCAGGATTGGACCCTCAGTCCTAACACGAGTGGATATTTTTCCAGCGGCCAGAATGTCAGTCAGCTGAGGGGCCACTGTAAAGGGGCCATGGCCTGAAGTTTTTGGAGTCACCTTGACTGACTACTTTTTTCCAGAGGTCAGCTAAGGAGTGGGTGAAAAGAGACAAATGGCTCAAAGATGAATCTTCTTCCCCACCCCAATCAAGCTGCTTGGAGGAGCTGGAATCCCGCAGAGCAGACAGGAAATTGAGGTGTGAATTAGTATAGTCTGGAGAGTTAAACTGTGGATGTTGTGTGCTGTAATAGGTTCTTAGGTGTCTAGATATCTTGGAGATGGGCACATTAGAAATCCTGAGAATGACAGGCGACAGACAATAGTCATTGTAGCATTTTGAGTAAAGCTGTTGGGCTATTTTGCATAAAGAATGCCAATAAACATACCTTTATTACAACTATAATAATTATATATGTCATTCTTTTTGTTTAGTGGAGAGAGGTGGTGTGTGAGGTAAGATGGACACCTTTCTATTATCTATACTTGTATTCTGTTTCATTTTGCAGGGTAATTGTCTTTGATGCTGAGCAGGAAGTCTTGTCACAATGAGTTATTGGAGCCTGGATAAGAAAAGTTGTCTGCAGTACTGCAGACATTTTTTAGTGGACAATGGCGTATTTCATGGTAAGCTGCATGTTTTCTTTTCATTTCTTACTTCACTCGGATGCAACTGAAATTTTATAGTGGCACATAACTAGGTAATAATTATCTTCTTGTAGATAATAAAAAGTAGATTTAGTAATGCTTTTTAATGTTTTGGAGTTACAGTTTTTACTTGGCAAGATAACGGCATATTAGTTTGTTATGGAAGTGCTTATTGAAGCATACCACTTTAATTACAATTTACTATAATAAAAATGTATTGATTGATGGTGTAGGTCAAGGGTATCATGTAAACATATCAGGGAAAGTTCTGCTTTTATACTTCTGATGATGGCCAGAAATACTGGAGAAAATCCTGCAGTTTACAATTTTTCCCATGCTTTGGGCACAGTCATATTCTGTGTCTTTTATGTTTAAGACAGACAGTCATATTCAGTACTGATGTGTTTCCATTGATGTTCATGGTGTTGCACCCAGTTATATCAGGGTTGAATTTGTGCCAAAATCTCCAAGATCACTTAAGCACTATTAAACTTCAAGCTCCCTGGTAAAGTGGCAGTTCAGCAGGCAGTACTGTCAGTCCCTGGTGGAGATGTAGTTTCCATTTGTGCTGAAAGAGAACTGTGTGGGACGTGGGAGGAGGATTTTTGGTTGGTGTAGCTGACCAGGTCTAGATTAAAGCTGTGTTCCTTAGGTAGGCAGCTTTGTATCTGGCCAAGAGGCTTGTGAACATCCCTGTTTTGAATAACGTGCTTTTAATTTCTTGTCAATTCATATGACTGTATATTTTAATGAGTATTGGAGACTTTCAAGATAACTGCTTTGACTAGCTGAATCTACAGTCCAGAGTTTTTTAAAGCAATAATCAAACCTTTCATTTAAGTCTTTTTGTTAATGTCAATATTTTCCCCAGTTCATCTTGCGTTTTCCCATTTGTCTCTCAATATGGACAGCATGTGCTTGAATGAATGAGGTGCAGCAGGTTCCTTAGTACGTAGAGCTCAGCTCCAGGAGGGATAGAGACTGCCTAAGGTCCTGCCTATGCTGTAACTCTTAACTAAGTTTGTAACTACTGTAGTTACATGGCACAACATAGTTAATACTCAGTAAGCATGGCAGCTAACACTGGGTCACCCTTTTCAGAGACTAGGCTGACATATAGTTGTCCTCCTGTAACTGGTTTGGCATGCGGCTTTTGTATATTATATCCGTGATACCCCCACCACCACACACATGCCACCCAGGCCAGTTGTCCTTCCTCCCAGCTCTTTGTGTATCCCAGAGTGCACTGAACCCAGGTGATGCTGGTGCCACTCTGTGTTCATGTACTCCCGGTACTATATTCTCCTGCTGAGACACTGGAGATAGCTGCCCAATTTTTTCCAGAATGCACCAATACAAATAGTTGAACAAAGCGGTAGGTGTGAATGCACACACATGGCTGTGCTACGAATAAGGTTTCTGTGTGGACACAACTCAGTTGTATATTTTGTAGCTATGTTAGGTGAGTGTCATGAACTAGTTACAAAAGCACTGTATTGGTAGTACAGACAGGGCCATAGTCGGGATCATGCTCAAGGCTGTTCACCACCTAACAGTAGTAAAACATGTTTTAGTGATATGTTCAAAGTGAGCCGTAGTCACTGCTTTGTTTCATCTCTGCAGCCCCATTGACATCACTGGGGTTGGACAGGTGTAGCTAACGGCTGAATATTGCCCCAGTACATGATACAACATACCTAATGTGGACTCATACCACCCCTGTGATGATGGTCTAACACACTGCAGTATATTTATGATAAGATGTAAGGCCTGATTCTCCTCTCACTTAAGACAAAACAAGAGTAATTCTACTCGAATCAGTCGTTCTGATTCTGAGTGTCCTTGTTGCTGGGCCATAAGAACCCCAACCCCTCTTGAGTTCCCCATGGTTTATATTAAATGTGGGCCATAGGAAACAGAAACTCTGGGTCACAGGACACTGGCCATGCGTACCTCTCTCCCTGGAACATCTCCTCCCATCACCTCCTTCCCCCTTACATATCCCATATGGCAGAGACTGGGAAGGGGAGTGAAGCAGGGTCCTTATGTTTACTGTATACTAGCCAGAGGAGGCCCTCTGTCTTAGGGGTGTTCCCCAAAGGCAGTGTCCATCAGCTTTCCAACCCCTGTACCCCACCAGAGTAGTGTCCTTGGGGATCACAGTGGAGAATCAGGCCCAGTGACTTATGCTAGTGTAAAATTGGTGTAATTTAGGTAACAATCAGACCCATAATTTTACAGCTGCAGTCATCTAGGCAATTGCTATGTGTGGTGGGGCGGCTGCCCCACGCCCGAAGAGTGTGGGCTGCGGCAGGCCCGGGTGCCTGCATAACCCGGCAGCCAATAAGAGAAGGGCTTGTTGCGAGCCAATCAGAGCCCAGATTGGGGACAGCCCTTTTTCCCCTTGGCAGGACACCCAGCCATAGGCCGCAGGGAGCGGCCAGCAGAAACTACACCAGATACCGGGCTGTAGGGATCGGACTTGGAAGTGTAGGACTGTTGATCACCCACCCCCTGGAAGGGGGTGTGAATGGACAAAGGGACACTGTCGGAGGGCAGTGTTCCAGAAGAGGACACTGTGTGTCGGGAGCAACGTGGTTCCACACGCCAACCAAAGGTGGGACGACAGATGGGACACCACCAGAAGGGGGCGCTCTACTGGATTGAACCAATTCCCCGAGACGACCAGTAGGAGGCGCCGCGGTGGTGCGTCCCAACCTTGACACACTGTGGAAAACTGGAGTCTGTATGGTTTATTAAAATTAGATATGCTATTTTAATCACTAAGTGCTGCAGGACTAAGCAAGGTGAGGAAGTGTTCTCCACTTATAAAAGGGGCACAGGGTAACCAATTCCTTACAGAGGGGTCCAAGGTTATTCTTCCTAAGAAAATATTTGAAAGCATATAATTTGATGGAATCTGGTGGATTCCAAAGTAAAACCTCCACCCTTCAGAATTAACTTTTACCTCAGATTCAGAAAGTTATCTCTGGAGTTACGGTTTTGTATATCAAGAGGACCGGGATGAACTCCATCAGGGATGGAGAAATCCCTGTGTATCCCTCTTCTCTCATTCTTCACTAATGAAAATGATGGGTGTTTCTTTCAGAGCTGGCTATTAGTACAAGTGAAGTAGGTGATTAGGGCCCTGCCATTTTGGGTTTTGTGCAAACTTTGTGATTCATGAGCTGGCTCTTCTGAAGCCAGATCTGGCTGGGCGATAACTCATAACCTGATCCCTTCCCTCCAGCAGTTTGGGCTCCTGTTGTTGCTTGGGGCCTGGTTGCTGCCAGTCATAAAATTGATCCTGCTTATTATGATCATAGTACAACTTATATTTAATACAAGGATCTAACTTAAACCAGCCAAAGCAGAGAGATTCAAGAGTTATGGCTGTCACCTTCTGTATCTGTACTCATGAAATCCTTGCCCTGTTGAAGTCAATGGCAAAACTCCTACTGACTCTAATGCGGCCAGGATTTCGCCCATGGTATCTATGTAGTGCAGGAAGTTCACAAGGGTTTTTGTGGAACTATGTGTGGTGAATGTGCCAAAATAACGTTTGTGCTAAAATTTGCAGTGCTAAGTTTTGTGCTGAGTTACTTGAGTTTTCACATGTCACTTAATGCAGGATTTAGCTTGAAATACTGCACAATGTTTTGCTAGTGTCACTGCCTCTAAGGGTATGTCTACACTACCCACCGGATCGGCGGACAGCGATCGATCCAGTGGGGGTCGATTTATCGCGTCTAGTCTAGATAAATCGATCCCCGAGCACTCTCCCGTCAACTCCTGTACTCCACTGCCACGAGAGGCGCAGGCGGAGTCGACGGGGGATTGGCAGCAGTTGACTCACCGTGGTGAAGACACCACGATCTAAGTACGTTTTCTTCAGCAACGTGAATAACATTATCCATGTAGCTGAAGTCGCGTAACTTAGATCGATCCCTTCCCCCTCCCCAGTGTAGACCAGGCCTTACTGTATAATATATATTTCTTTAAAAAGAACAAGAGTACTTGTGGCACTTTAGAGACTAACAAATTTATTTGAGCATAAGCTTTCGTGGGCTACAGCCCACTTCTTCGGCTGCATAGAATGGAACATATATTGAGGATATATATATATATATACATACACACACACAGCATGAAAAGGTGGGAGAATTGAAATCATGGTGGAATTCCTCAAGAGCTTCTTTTCCATGGGTCCAGATGATGAATATGTCATCAATGTAGTGCAAGTAGAGTAGGGGCGTTAGGGAACGAGAGCTAAGGAAGCATTGTTCGAAGTCAGCCATAAAAATGTTGGCATACTGTGGGGCCATGTGGGTACCCGGCACTGCTATGGCTGTCACCTTCAGCCCCCAACTAAAACCTCTCCAGCGCATCATCAAAGATCTACAACCTATCCTGAAAGATGATCCCTCACTCTCACAGATCTTGGGAGACAGACCTGTTCTCGCTTACAGACAACCCCCCAACCTGAAGCAAATACTCACCAGCAACCACACATCACTGAACAAAAACACTGACCCAGGAACCTATCCTTGCAACAAAGCCCGATGCCAACTCTGTCCACATATCTATTCAAGTGACATCATCATAGGACCTAATCACATCAGCCATACCACCAGGGGCTCGTTCACCTGCACATCTACCAATGTGATATATGCCATCATGTGCCAGCAATGCCCCTCTGCCATGTACATTAGCCAAACCGGACAGTCTCTATGCAAAAGAATTAATGGACACAAATCTGACATCAGGAATCATAACATTCAAAAACCAGTAGGAGAACACTTTAACCTGTCTGGTCATTCTATGACAGACCTGCGGGTGGCAATTTTGCAACAGAGAAGCTTCAAAAACAGACTCCAATGAGAAACTGCTGAGCTGGAATTTGTATCTAGTTTGCATATCATCAACTTAGGCTTGAATAGAGACTGGGAATGGCTGAGCCATTACAAACATTGAATCTA